GATGCGCTATATCTAAGTGTGGAGTCTGCGTTCGCGCTCACTCCGATAAACAAGTCAAAAGCAGATTTTTTTTTTTTTTCTTAAATTATAAAAAAAAAATCATTCTAAGTGCATTGAATATCATCCGCACTTACGAAATGTGAATAACTCCCCCTGATTTCTGGGAAATTTTTTTCATTCTGATGGTTGGAGTTGTTGCGAGGCAAGCTAAACAAATTTTGATTTATAATTTAAAGAGTGCCAAAAATTTAATAAAAAAAAAAAACTTATAATTTCTTGGAGTGAATTAATATTTGCGAAAAGTAACTTTACATTATTCGGGGTAAATTAACAGAAAAGATTTCCTGGTTAGGCCTAAAACTGCACTTTCTTTGCTTTCACTGTAAGTTTGTCAAACATAACCGCTCAACATTGAGGTCAACAAAAAACTGTCGCCAACAACATTCGACATCGAGAGTCTGCTGATGTCGAATGTTGTCAGATGATTTAATACTTCAGAATTTAATTAATGAATCTTACACTACAAATTAACTGTTCAGTGGCACTCATGACACGTGCCCTACTTGCTTTGGCCGAAATACGACACTACTTGTTCTTGCGCATTCATCTCAAATGCTATTGTCCGTAAACGGAATACTGAGCAACATAAATCAGAAAATTCCCGGGAGTCCCCCTTCGGGACGTGGATGATCATGGCTCACCACTGTTTCTTGTCTCTTGTTGCTTCCATAATCCTTGCTCCTTCACGCTGGCCCAAGCCTTGTGAGTGAAATTAGTTAGACGAAACTGTTCAGAAGTCGTCGATGGCTCTTCAGCCTTGGTTGGCTACCAGTCTAGGAGTAGGGCAACTCTGAATTTAAAACCAATTGGCGTGCTACAGGCAGATAGAAAACTATTCAGCTTTGGTTGTCAATCTAGAGACGGTAGCGATTTCTCAAGCGTAGTTTAGCTGTGGCACAAGGCCGAAAGTATGGAGCACCCAGTGAGGATCGAACTCGCTACTCATTCGTAATTGCGCTAGCGGGGCAAGCTTGCTAACCATTACACCGCCTCGGGGTGCCCCAATCTAGAGATGGTAACCCGTTAAAAACATTCATTCCCTAGCAGCCTGGACCACTCGTGGGGTCGTGTCGGCATGTTAAAAATAGATTTAAAAATCTTACAATGACTGAAATTTTTAAATCACGTTTTTTGGGGGGGGTTTTACGGCCCGTATTTGTCTTTGTGGTACTTGTTCAAACTCACGTGATAAGATTGCTCAATGTTTCTCTTGCCTTATGGGTGTTAGATTTTTTAAGCCTTCTTTCCTCATTGTGTTTACCAGACCTTGCTGTCCACATTCTCCTCAAAAGAACCACATCTTCAAGTCTTTATTTACAAAACTGTCCAGTATTCACTACCATATCGAAGATTAGACATTACGAAGTGTGGAGGAGGTACTAAAAAGTTTTCAGCCCCACCCATTTCCTCAAATCTGATCCAATAACCAAACTTCATAATTTTTTAAAAGACTTCTTTGTTAGGGACAAGAACTCTTCAATAACCCTATAGTAAACAGCAAGCCATAATATTTTTCTATCACTTAATACCTTGCTTAGTTTCGGGAAAACATCTTTTACTATCCTTGTTTATCTTTGGATTTCTGTGTTGCTCTTTCTGATGCCTGTCACTTTTTTTTAATGCTATTTCCCTTCAGGATGTAAGCGATTATAGCCCTCCAGATTCTTTTTCTTTATCTGTTATGACTTCTTGGGGAAAATAAAACGGAATAGTTTCCCGTTGTCTTCTCTATGGTTTTAAATTCAGGCATTCAAGGCTAGTGATCTCAGTGGACCCTATTTAAACCATGGGTTTCTCAAAGGTATAGTTCGAAGTGAACACAACAGACTATTGGAATTTGATTCGATTTCACTTTCCACGCCGATAACAGTTACGCTACCAGCAAATCGCACGCTTGGGTAGGAGACCTGGAAGGGAATATTTCCAGTTCCTCATTGATGCATTGAATATTGTTGCCATATCTGGTCTAGTGCCTCTACTGTATCTCAAAATTCTTGACAAAATCCAAAGAAGGATCTGCAATTTAATAGATCCTGCATTGGCATCTCGACTTTTGTCACTTTATCATCGACTTGACGAGGCTTCCCTCTGTCTTTTCTACAAATATTTCCATGACAACTGCTCTGACGATCTTTTCTCTATGGTGCTCCGAATACAGGAATTTAAACGTGCTACTAGATTGGCATCTAGGTCCCAACTATTGAAATAGCTAAATGCAACCTCCACTTCTACTAAAACAGTTTTTCTCGCACTTCCCACCTGTGGAACCCCTTTCTGCTTACTTGCTTCCCTGATAGATAAAATCTTTAAAAAAATCAAATGTGGCTTCAATCGCCATCTTTTGTCCGTTCCTCAATCCCCCTTATACTCTTTTCTCTCACTTTCACTCCCTGTACATCCTTAGTGGCATTGCCGCCTTGCTTGGAGTGAAATGATATATCTATATATCTCTAAGGAAAAGCTTAATACATCATTAAAAAGTTCTGAAATAATTTATTTCAGACAGACAATTGCCTCATCAGACCGGAGTTATAAAATGGTTGAAATCATCCAGACAAATTAAAAATTACCCGGTCTTGACGATTGCGTTTAGCATGAAAAAGTCTGTCGCCTCTGAGTGTTGGCTTCAATAATTGCTTTTATATTTACATACGCTCTATTGAGCACTTTATCCCATAAATATAGCATACTTTAAAACGCACACACACACACATATATATATATATATATATATATATATATATATAATGATATATTAACATCATAATACAACAGAAGGAAGAACAGTATGGGTGAAAGAAGTATATACTAATATGTACGAGATCAAAACGTATCGGAACTGGAGCTATAAAAAGAAAACAACAATGCATATAAATTCTGCATTTAATCTCCTTTAAAGTAGTCCACCTTCTGGAGCCACACACGTTTGTTCAGCGTCGTTTCCATTAATGGAAACATTCCTTAAGTTCCTTTTTGGGAATAGCAAGCAGCTGCCTCGTCGCATTGTCTTGTATTTCCTCGAGGTTTGAAAATCTTTTCGTGTGAGATGTGTTTTTTCGGGAAGAGGAAAAAGTCACAAGGGTGTGGATCTGATGGTTGTCGTACCTGGAGAATGCTGTGCGTTGTCATGATGGAGTTGCCCCTCACCGGACACATGCAATTTTGTCTTTTTCCGACCAACAATATCCCGTAAACGCCGCAGCACGTCATGGTAATACTCCTTGTTTACTGTCTGACCAGGTGGGGCATACTCATGATGAACATTGCCCTTGTAGTTTAAGAAAACTGTCATAAATATCTTTACATTGTTTCGACTCATTCGTGGTTTCTTCGGCCTTGGAGAGGTTGGGGGGGGTCTTCAATCGCGAACACCCCCCTCCCCACCAGTTATAGGTAAATAGGACAGAGTGAAACTTATAGCCTTGACTGGCTGCCAGTCTAGAAAGAAAATGAGTTCCAACTGGCCCAAAACTTACCACTGCTGCTACTACGGTTGCAGTACGTGAGGTACCCCTACGACCCTAATGGGTTATGGGACTAACTGTCGTAATGATATTTCTCGTTTGTCCGTACCAAGTAATTTTGTAATTGCATTCTTTTTATAAAATATCAATCTTTTTATATTGTTTTGAATTTTGTTTAATACTTAACACATGGATACCAACTTTAAAATCGACTATTATAAAAATTCGATATTAATCTGAAACTTCAACTTTATAAGCCATAAATATCAAACGTCCCAAAAAATGAACATAGTCCGGAGTATTCTGTGAGGATTGAATTTACTACAGTACTCTCGGCCTTCCAAAAGCTAAGCAAAATATTAAGAAACTGGGGAAATGTTGTCAGAAACGAGTAGGGTACCGTTGGGAAGACAGAAACGAGTAGGGTACTGCTACGTGATATCTATACTCGTGTATGCCAGTGAATGCTGAACAATCAGCTCACAGATGAAAAATTTGAAACAACAGAAATGTGATTGTACAGAAGGATGCTGAGAATACCATGGACTAAATTTGTAAGCAACGACGAAGTTTTAAAGAAAATGAAACAAAAAAAATCTTATGCTTGACATCAGGAACAGACAGTTGAAATTTTCAGGGCATATAATGAGGAAAAAGGGCTTGGAAAGTCTGATACTCACAGGACAGATTGAAGGCAAGAACGACAGCGGAAAACAACGCATAATATAGTGAGCTTGAGTAAACGGATGACGGAACAGTTTTGGAGAAATAACAAAAAAAAATAAACTTTATTAAAAACTACGACGGACAGGAAATTGTGGATAGCCATGATCGCCTATGTCCTGAAGAGACACGGTACATAAAGATGTCTTTTGTGGACTTTGTCCGAATATTTATTTTAAATGGAAAAAAAATAAAGAATGAATTAGTTCAATAATAAACGTTACAAAAATATTGACAGATGATTTCAATGTCTCACTCTTCAGTTTTGTTTTGGTCTTTTAGTTTCTTTTTAGTTTTTACTGTGTCGTAAAGTGGACTCGTATGTTTTTTCTTCAAAGATATCGGCTGGTATTTGTACGTGATATTTTTCAGATGAAACTGCATTGATAATTACTTCGCAGACATCACACTTTTTCCTCTCTCGGTAGTGTTGCAACTGTCGTCTGACCAGAGAACTTCTTACACACACTAAAGGTCATATCTACTTCTGACCTGCCTTCATAAAACTTGACACTCGCTCCAAGGTGACACCACATTGCCTGCTTGCGTTATTTTAACATAGTAGCAGCAGCAAGTCTTAAACTACGCACGAACATTTTGTAAGCTAGTTGGTTGTAAATACCTGGAGAATGTATGACCCTTGCTCAATAAATTTCCTGGTGAATAAGAGAAAGACAAACGCATGAATAAAAAAAAAATGAGTTTAATTACTAAAAGCTTTTGTTTCTGTGAGAGTGTCTGTGTAAATTGTAAATGACAAATGTGCTGGTCGGCAGTTCAACTGCTGGCCAAGTTGTTTCATTTTTCTCTCTCTTTTTTTCTCTCTCTCTCCTCTGTCTCTCTCTTTTTTTCTCTCTCTCCTCTTCTCTCTCTCCTCTGTCTGTCTCTCTCTTTTTTTCTCTCTCTCTGTCTCTCTCTTTTTTTCTCTCTCTCTCTCTGTCTCTCTCTCCTCTTTTCTCTCTCTCTCTCTGTCTCTCTCTTTTTTTCTCTCTCTCCTCTGTCTCTCTCTTTTTTTTCTATCTCTCTCCTCTGTCTCTCTCTTTTTTTTCTCTCTCTCTCCTCTGTCTCTCTCTTTTTTTTCTCTCTCTCTCCTCTGTCTCTCTCTTTTTTTTCTCTCTCTCTCCTCTGTCTCTCTCTTTTTTTTCTCTCTCTCTCCTCTGTCTCTCTCCGACTTTATTTTTGCCTCTTAGTACTAATAGCAAGTAAGTAGATGTTCTCGTCGCATGTTTTTGTTTTAGTCTGCATAGCGTCGTGTATCAAAAGGCTTCAATGTCTTTATCACTTGTGAGAATTTTTTTAAGTATTATAAGAAAGCCAATCAATTTATTACGCTAAAATAAAACTATACCGTGAGAATATTGCATATTTGACAAAAACTAGACTGACCGTCAAGCTGGGAAAGGGTTTTGTCCTAGTTTGAAATCAATTTTTATCTTTTCAGTGCTGTTATAGCAACGTCAGTAATTAGTCATAGTCACATTCTTCTTTTCTATACTCTCTCCTTTCGTGACGTTGGCGATTATCGCTCTCCCCAACTTCCTATTCTTTGTAGATCTAATTAGTGTTAGTTCCCTTCCTTTCTATCCCTGTCACATTTTTTGTTTTCCTTCTGCCCACCTTGTCTTCAATATATCCGGTGAGTGTCACATTCTCCAAACGCTTTTCTCATTGTATCCCAGAATTTTCAACTGACTAGTCACAATTAAAATAGTAGATACAAAGCTTTTTTATGCAAAGATGTTAAATTGATTTTGGGGATCTTATAGAAAATGATTTTAGTATTCGAAATGTTCTTAGAAATGGTTATGCGATTGACAGAAAACGTTTAGTAAATGTCATAATTCACAATTTATAGAAGGAAAGTAAATAAAAGCTCACTGAGAAGCTGCTATGTAGTTTCAGTAACTTTTTTTGATTACTAGCCGCTTCTCTTATCTCTTTGGGGAAAGGGAGTCATTTGGCATAGATTGCGTAGACGAACTGGTATTTATGAGTTGACGATGGCCCGTTGTAATACGGTATTTACGTTTCTCGAAGCAAACTGGAACAGCCCAGCATGCAAATTACAAAAAAACATGCAAGTATAACAAATTGTATCTCCCATTTCAGTATCTGGGAAGTGTTGAAGGGAGACATCGAAAGGCTAACTGGGAGAGCGAAAGTGCCTTCCGAAAGCTAAGCAAAACATTAAGAAACAGAAAATTTTCGTTAGAAACAAAGAAAATAATACTGAACTGTTATGTAACATCAGTCCTTCGATATGGCAGTGAACGCTGGACCATCTCAGACGAATTAATTTGAAGCAACTGAAATGTAGTTCATCGAACGATGCTGAGAATACAAACATTTTAATATTCTCAGTATTTAAAATTTTAAATGACACTTAAATATTATTTAGTTAGCGCATGGGTTACGCCCTGACATTACCTCAGGTAAATATTGAACCCTTCCATTTTGATTTCAGGAAACATGGTAGAAAGAGACGCTATTTGGTTTTAGTGGGGGAGAAGGCGATGGAGTAATAGTGGCTCGGATTGAGGAATCGGAGAGCCGAGTTCGAATTCCAGTAAAAATCCACTACATTCACATGTGCTAATACCCTTGCGAACGGTATGAATCCTCTTCTCCCAGCTATGGGTAAATAGCAGGACATACCGGTTCTATAAGCTTGGATGGCAACCTACTGCGGGGAAAAAAAGATCCATAATCGCCTAAGCGTGTATCACGCATGCCACATAACTGACTGACTGAAGGAGAAGAAATAGAAAGTGATAAAGCTCTCGTGCGTTTAACGCCTGATTTAGTGAAATTTAGTCAATTTAGAACCTTTTTGTTTGTAGCTTCTCGATGCTTTAAATTATGACATACATTCATACTTATGATTTTTATTACAATATGTTATTAAAGTTTTAAGTGCAAATATTTAACGATGCAATATGGGAACTTCCACAGATAGTCGTGAAACTAGCCACGAACTTATTCAATCATTTACTTATTATTCCTCAGAAAATACAAATAGTTAAACCGTGAATTTTTTACGGACACTGATAGCTTCCAAAACTTAGTCAACTATCATAAAATAGCCTATTTGCTTTGGAATTACACACCTGTCAAAGGGTATATAGATTAAAATCGGCCGAAATGTGTGTTAAAAACTTTAACATAAACGAGTTCAATTGTCCGAAGAAATCATGAAATATTTTAATTTTTATTAAAATCTACAAAAATGATCATTTTTTTTTTTTTTTAATACCAGCCGGCGGTGATAATCAGGAAAATAATACGAACCCCTGATTTATTAAATCTTCTTGTAAAAAGAATACATCTGGTTACTCCGAGATATTTTGTGATATATATATATAGTGCATATTTAGGCAGCATATTTTCATTCAGACAGGTTTGATTTTAGCCATATCATGCCGGTGAGTTTTCTCGAACGCTGCATAAGCAGTAAAAACGAACAGTTGAAATGTTTCGAATTTTTTTACAGAAACACATACATACTGACAGACAACTTAACCCACTGAAGATGATATCGGATGAGATTGAAAGTACTTGGGAGAATAAAAACAAATTTAAAAAGAAAATTTTGTTATTTTTCTTAATCAATTTTCTAAAGCTACCAAGAAATTAATCCGCAAACTTGAAAGGTTACAACGAAAACGAATCGACATGATATCGAGATTATTTAACCAAACCTACTTGAAAAAAAAAATATAATTTTTCCTCTATTCTAACGGAAAATGTAGGTATACTGTATTCATATATTTGTTCGGCAAGCGACAACTTTTCAGTTCTTCGATATACATTTTATAAATGTCCAAAAATTAAAAGTAAACGGTCGTATGATTGTATATATTGTTTGTGTCTGTAGTGTAATAATAGCTTATATGCAATTTGTAAAAATGTAATTAAACATTTCTTTCGTGTAAATTTCAATGAAACTCTTTAAAAAAAAAAAAAATTCTGAAGAAATTTTTGAGGAATTGATGGATTATTTTTTTTACAATTAGTAAATATAATGCAGGTTCGATTCCTGCCATGAGGCACGTTTTCTTTAGTGGGAATTTCGAGCGCTATGCCAGTAGATATTAAGTTTTTTTTGTGTTTCTGAACAACTAGATTACTGACGAAATCTATAATGATGTTGCACAAAGTCGAAGTATAGGGCACTTAGTGAGGATCGCACTCACTACTCAGTCATAATTGTTGTAGTGAGACAAACTTGCTAACCATTACACCACGTTGATTTGTCCTACTGACCAAATTTATGAATTCGTACACTTTCTGCAAAAAATAATATATATATATATATATATATATTAATAAAAAGGCTTAAACACTAATATTCCATGGGCATAATTTATTCCATTGGAATCGTAAAATTTACAATTCCAATGGAATAAATTATGACCATGGAATATTAGTGTTTAAGCCTTTTTATTATATCCTTACTCTGTCCTGGACATTGAGTTCTACCTAGATTCTATCCTCTTTGAATTTTTCATTCAAAAAATATACATGTATATGTATGCACCTCTGTATATATATTTATATTTACCACTTTATATATATATATATATATAGAGAGAGAGAGAGAAAGATATCGGACTTTTTTTTTGTTTGTTTGTTTGTTTTTTTTTTTTTTGTAGCGCTGACTGGCAGGGGTGGGGGAAGTGATGAAGATTTTTTTTAAATAATTAAAATTATTACTTGGTTTTCCTCTGACAATTGAGATCGTTGTCCCGAGAATGAAAATGTACCTACCGAACCTGTATTCCCTTTTTGAAAGAAATAATATCTGATTAAAAAAACAAACACACCATCAATTGCTCAAAGATATACAGAGAAAAGTTGGTTTGTGTCGTGCTCAACAATTTTTGTCACCAGAATCTCTTTGACTCTTTATTCGTCCATGTATTGACCATTGCATTTGGTCCGGTGCTTGTGTGTATTTAGAGATTGATAAAATTCAAAGAATCTGCAATGTTATGACCCTGACATCTTGGCTTCAGTCACTTTCCTATCGCCTTAACGTCGTTTCTCAGTTCTTTTCTATATATATATATATATATATATATATATATTTATTTTGGTACTTCGAATTTATGAATTTAAGTGCGGTACTGCAGTGACAGTTAAATTTCATCATTTTTCAATTGAAATAGCTAAATGCAACCGTAAGTTCTTTGCTAGCAGTTTCTTCTCTCGCTGTCTGTCTTGCTATTTACTCGTAGCCGGGGTGGGGGAATAAGAGGATTCATACCTTTCCCAAGAGAATTAGCACGTAAGTGAATGTAATGGATTCGACTGGAATTCGAACTCTGCTCTCCGAAAATTTCAGAAAGCACTGAGAAGGTTCTTAGCTGATGTACGTCTGTTGTAAGTGACCTCATCTGCTCAGGGTGGAGGTTCCTCAGCCCAGCTACGTAGCCTACGTTGACGCCAGTTTTTTTTTTTTTTTTTTGAGATCGTTACAGCCACACCTTCGTTCGTGGATTACTTACCAGGTGTTTCGTGCTCAGTAAAGATATTATTAAAAATGTCAAAAAGTCTATATATATATATATATATATATATATAATTTAATTTGTAAGTAGTGATCATGTTTTTAGTACACGTACAGAAAGTACAAAACATTATTTTTACGTGAAAACTTAATTTCACCACTTAAAAATCCGTGTGAACATTACATGACTATCATCATTATCTGTATTTATTTATCAAATTTTATATAAAACTACATTCAGCGTATGTTATATGAAACTACCTTCAAGGTATATGTATAAGCTGTGTTATGAAATTTAAAGGGATATCACGTTTATGCTTGGGTTCCCTTATCACCTGCTCCATTTTATATATGCTAGATACAAATTAAATGGCCTGTATTCCAAAATACGAAAAAATCAGAAAACCGAAGCACTTCCGGCTACAAGAATTTTGGATGAAGGATTCTCAACCTGTAATTACGGAAAACATTTAAGAGGAACACAAAAATTGTCTTCTTCAAATTCTCTCGTAATAAAATGAGTAAATATCCGATTTATTCAGAATAATATGAGTTTTTTTTTGCGCAAACTTTCTATTTTGAAAGACCTTTTATCAGAAATCTCAAGTAGATTTGTGGGATGGGGGATAAATCAGATATTAAGTTTTAAAAATTCCTAATTTTATTTTCTTTAATCTGATCCTCTCTTAAATCGAAG